CTTAGTGTCGACGCCAACTATGCTCGAGCGCATATTTTCTATGGAGATACAACAGCGAACACAGTTACCATTTGGTCTGGTATTTTGTTATTAAGTTAGTTTAAGTAACCTAAGAGTAAGTAAAGTCATAGAGTAAAATGGGAGAAATTAAGAACTGCCCAAAAAAGTGTCCAACAAAAATTCGTTATTTAACGCATTTCGTTCTTTTTCATAAAATACGATTGCACACATTGAATTTTGTCATATGTCATGCTCAGTCATTAGTGCGTACATTGAGAACAAGATGCGAATTTTGATCATAAAAAATATTGAAAATAATGATGAATTTGGGTTCTAATAATACGCAAATTTTTTGAAAGGGGTGTTTTTGAACTGCCCAAAACCAATTTTAGACGTAAAAGTAAAGCCACTGTTAAGTATTGACTCAATACTATTGAGCTTCACGTCAAGTCCAAGAACAAATATAACCTCTGTCAAAAACACCGATCTGCCATCTACACTGTGAATCTGTCATTGTGTACATATTAAGCAGACACTGTCGATGCGTTTACTTGTGTGTGTATTATTATGAACGACAATCTTAACATTCAATATGTGTAAGATGATAGCTTTAAATCTCACTGGATAGATGGCGACTAAGGTGTATACGTCAAATCTTTATAATGTATTTATATGGGAACAAAGCGAGTTTGATGTTGAGCTGCAATGGAAATAAAGACGCTAAATAGAACACGACCGATTGTGTGACTGCTTTATTAGACTGCTCCAAAAAAAAAAGTTGTCCCTCATCCAAAAGGCCCGGGCAGTTTCGAAAAATATACCTCAAAAAAATAGATTTTATCTAAAAAAAATCATATGGGTACCATATAAAAACCCATGGCAAGCCCCATATCAAAATTTTCATGACAGCGATTTCGGAAGCCAATTCATATCGCAACATTTCGACCTAAATCATTTTTCCAGCCAATTATCGGCAAAAACTGATGTTAAGGTTTTGTTTGGCTCGTCAATATCTACAACTTTTACCAAGACATCAGGCCTTGAAAAGGCATTCTGGGCCAGTTACAGTGTAAAATGACCAAAAAAATGGCAATTTTTCGGCATTTTTTGCAGTTTTCGCTCTACTGGTCACCCAGGTGGTAGACTTTTGTTCAGTTTTTGACTTGTGTCATGTAGTCAAAATTATATTGGGAGTTCATTTTTGTGATTGACATGTTCAACAAAATTGTAGCTCTTGATAAGTAGAGTAAATTTGACCAAGACATGAAGTAAAAATAATTTACAATTTCTGAGTTCTAACCTCAAATGTCAAATATTTGGTGTCATTTCGATAGCAGCTGTCATACTTTCACGACTGTATCTCTTGAAGTACTTGGAATATTTGGTCGGTTATTATTGCATTTTGTTGATCTAATTACAATCTTTCAAATGCCGTCTATTATGCTTCAATATCTTTCTTGGTTCAAGAAATATTCGTATGTGTTGAAGATGACAGAAGTGAAATGAACCCGTGAGCATAAAAACGACTTATTAAACAATCGCCGAACAAAACGATACAAGAAAAAACTACCAAACAAAACACACGTTAAAAACGTAAGACAGCAGGACGGTACCGTTCAAAACGAAACTCCGCTGTGCTACACATTACCGCTGTGGTACGTTTTGTTCGGTAGTTTTTTCTTGTATCGTTTTGTTCTGCGATTGTTTAATAAGTCGTTTTTATGCTCACGGGTTCAAATATGATAAAAAAGTTTGACCGCCTCCATTTCTGAAACAACGGTCCAAGGTGGAGCAAGCCATAAACATTATTTCGAATCTTCGCGAGCCTGTGCATGAAGCTGTGTCTCTAGTTTTCAATTGTCATTGAAGTTGGTCCATTTATATAAATATATAACGAAATGTCCTCTCAATCTTGTCCAATGCTAATTTGACATCGGTTTACATTTTTGAGAAAAAATCACGAAATTCAAAAATATTCACTAAATTTCCTCTAGATTCTTTTAGTTCACATTATTTTGCAATAAATAGAACAAATGTTTGAATAATAAAAACTAATTACGTTCATGGAATAATCATTGGTAAATTTTTTTCGAGGTTGTCCTCTCAATTTTATCCAAGAGTGTATGTTAATAATTATTATGTACTAGCCAAATAGAATTCGCCGAGTTGCACTATTTTCAAAACTTCGGGTTATTGTCGCTATATTTGTCATTACTTCAATTCTTGTGTCATTCTCGGCTTCTTGCCAGAGGACGGCCTTTAATACGGAAACGTCAAAAGTGAGCATACAATACACCACCGGCGGTGGGATTTGTCAAATGTATTATATACGATACATTGCGCCACTATCAAAGCGATTCATATAATGACATGTATTCTATTTAATACATTTATAATTGCGATTCTCACCACCAGGTACTTGGTGCATGCACCGTCACAATCGCGTACTCCTCCAAAGGCCGTCCTCTGTTTCTTGCGTCATCTCTCGTATGTTAATTTTTTTCGCAATTAATCTTTTTTGAGTCTTAAATTCGATAGCTATTAATATGTCACTGACCTGACAACAAATCAATCTAGCTACTTTGATTCGAATCCACAATACAACCGTTTGTTTTTTGGATTGGAAGATTACAATTTTGGCGACGTATTTGGAGTTTGCCTTACATTTTGCCAAAATTCAATTATGGTAACTCATTTTCTGTTCCACCGCATAAACAACAATAAACATTAGAAACCATTAATACCTTTCTGTGTCTGGTCGTTTTTAAATCAGTATTTCAAGCTTGATTCTCTTTCAAGCTACTCTATCTCTATCTTGAGCCAATCTACGTGTGTCTTCTCTCCATTTTAAGTATCTTTCATTCAAAACAAATTTCACTCATGTATGGTTTGTCCTGATGCGAAGTAAAAAAAGATGCTGGAAACAAACACTTTTTTTTCCCATACATTTGCGAAAATTTGTTTCCATGTTTCCAGTAAAATGTTTCCTAGTGTGACTGCACCCTTAATTTTTTCAATTTTTTTATTTTTAAATGAAATCAAATCTCTTTTACAACAATACGCATTTAATATTTCATTGCCATCAATCCACATTAATGTAATATGGAGAAACAATGAAACAAATTTTTTTCGTCAAACTCCAAAAAGTTTAATTCGAAAATCAAAACTGCATTTATAAGATGACTCTTGAGGCTGCGCGAAATCAAACGGAAAGCATAACAATAGAACCATGAATTGAAAAAAGGAGAGATAACTGGCTACATACACACACACACACACAGACGAACATTCAGTTTTATATATATAGATGAAAACATACCTCATATATCCCAAAAAAAACATATCCGTGAATTCGAACCCTCATTTCCCAGTCGACTTTTACGTATTTGAGATATATGGAGATATGGAGAACAAACAATAAAAATTAAATTGATGTACGAACAGACAGTAGTAGACTGTAAAATGTTTAAACTCACGATTTCCCGGCGTTCCTGGCATCATACCCGATCCGGTATTTGCTTACAATTTTGCGGCAATGCTATTGTTTGATTTTACATAAATTCCACGGCTGTCTGCTGTTGTCACTGATTCACCGTTCTGAAGAATAAATCGAGTTTTTTTAGTCAGTATCGGCGCGGCAATTTTCGTTTCTACCCAGAAATATAGCTTTTCCAACAACAAAACGACGCTTGTGTTTTTTTTTGCATTACATGAAATGTAGAGCTACTAATCTGCTTTTTTTTCTAAATACTTTTTGAGTGTTGAAACAAATTATGGTGAATTTGAATTTTATGCTCATATTATTTATTTAATTTAAACCAAAGGCAGTATATTTCAAAAAAGAAATTAAACCAAGATCTTGTAATTCATTTTGCAAATAAATATATTACTTCAAAGTTACTTTGATGAAATACATTTCATGTAGTGCGCCAAAAAATAGTTTGTTGTGAAACAACAAAATAGATTATTTAACTAAAAACTCAAATAGATTGAATCACTTGAATGTTGACGTTGGCAACAGGATTTCGCTTCTATTTATTCCAAATTTTAGGCTAGAACAGCTGCCGCAAGAGCACCAAACAACAAATATTGAGAATAAATCCTCAGTTTAACATAGAACAACGAAACACTAGGCGAACACAGACGCCATTTCTAAAATTTCAAAATGTCATCGACGCGCTATCGTCAGACCCTTTGCCGTTTGTCATCATTCAAGCAGTGGCGCTGCTGTTCTCAGGCTCAACAGGCGTTTTTTAGGGGAAAATATCAATTGGTCGTACGCTATTATCTATTATTGGATTTTCATCGCTATTCATTGGTATATCGGTTTGAATTGGTCAAATAAATTGGGTGGGTCAAAAAACGTCATAAAACAAACAAAATTCGGCATAAAAATTACAAAAAACGTCATAATATTTACAAAATGTGTTATAAATTTTACCGAAATTCGTCATAAATATTATCAAAAATTTCACTAAAATCGTCATTAAAACACCCCGAATTCGTAATAAAATTCCCGAAAAACGTCATAAATATAACGCAAAAACCGTCATAAAATTCACAAAAAACGTTGTATAATTCTCAAAAATCGTCATAAATGTAATGCAAAAACCGTCATAAAGATTAGCTTATGTCTAACAGAAAAGTGTCCATACACTTTTTTACTCCTCGTGAGCCAAGGAATCTGTGGCAGGGATATCGTGCAATAATTATGAAACAAACTGTATGGCTCAAATTTGGCACTAGAGAGGCTTTAATGGGAAAAACTGAAAATTGCTCTCAATTTGCAAGTGGCTATTTCTCTGTAGACATTTGGAGCGAAAATCAAATGGTCGACTAGATGAAATGAAAGAAGAAAACCTTGACTCTTATTTAATCCATATACTACTTTATTTTATAATGATGAATGAGTTCATGAGTGAAATATGAAAATTGAAAATTGAAAATTGAAAAAAAAGTCGTGTGGCGTGTTTCACGTGTCGTGTGCCGTGTGCCGTCTGTCAATTGAATTTCTTGATGTCTGCATCAAATGGACGGGCTGGCCAATTACGGGATCGTACATCCAAATCACTCGGAATTACGTAATTTTTGTGACGATCGTCGAATGCGATTTGACTTCTGGCCGTTCCGCTGGCACCGAACACTTCAATCGAAAGACTGAGATCGACTCCACTTCCTTCTCGGAGGAAAAGAACGGCCGGTGTGTTATGCTCGAAGTCTTTCAGCACAGTGTCTACGCTCACGGCTCGTCCACTATGCACAGCAACGACAGTACGATCGCTGGAAGTCAGAAAAACGATTTTTTCGACAAGATTGTTGTTTTTTTCCTTCAGTACAATCGGCATTCGAATCGGCGTCAGAACAGCGAACTTTGAACTGGACATTGGCTTGATGCAAACGTCAGCAGCTGCCGAGAACAGGTCGATTCCGACTTGAATTTGCTGTACGCATTGATCAAGAGCATGAAAGATTTTGGTGTTTGCTGAGACGATGTAACGAATCGCAGGAATACGAATATACCGGTCGACGAAATCGCTGCGGAATCGATTCTTGAAGCTGCAACTTTTCACGTGGTCATTATCATGCCGAATAGGCGTGTGGCATTCGTAGCATCTGTCCAAACTACGACTTTCAACATCGGATGCGTTTCGGGCACGTTCAGCCAGCTAAAGAAAAATATATGCGATTTTAGTTTTCAAATTCACAATGTGAATTTCTCATTCAACAATTGCAAAAGCAATGATGGGGTTACCTCTGCTGTTAATGCTATCAGTGCATCGGGGATACGGAACATTTTACGAGTCGTATCGTATCGAATTTCGTGTCGGTCGCCCAAAGGGAAACGATAGACCGTAAGACACAGATTTTCCCGAGCCACCATGCCCAGAACCAGTGTGGTTTTGCTGTGTTGTCGTTGCGTTGTTGGATCAAACGGTTCATCAAGACTCGATCCAATAATCATTTGGTCTTTTGACGTTGAAAGCATGAGTTTTTCGTGGAACGTTTCATTTTTGTCACCATCTTGTTTGACTACCACCACCACACGAATTGGTGTGAATGATGTGGTAAGAATGGCCAGGTCCAAATCTGTTTTGAATCGCAGAACAGCATCTGATTGGGGAGAGTACATCTCAATCTCTTCACCGGTTTTGCGCCAATTATTGTCCGTCAAGAATCGAAATGCGTTGTTGCAACCAATGATGAATCGTTCAATGAGCGGCTTCACGTATACGTCTTCGAACGGCTTGAAATACCAAGCTTTGTTGCCACAGATCTGTGAATGGTTCGATAAACGTCGGATAAAGTTGAAACAGTCCGGGCAATGTTGCGGCTTCTTGTCTGGACAATCGCTGGTCAGGTGTGCTCTGAAGCAAATGACACAATCTGTATCCATGATTGCTGAAATCAGCTAAAAGAGAACAAACGAAACTTGCTTATTTGACACCCAACTAATCGACTTCGTGAACGATGCGATGCGATACGATGCAAAGTGGAAGAAACTCCAACACAATGTTTTTCCAGAACCGATACATCAAAAGCAGATGAATGATCTTACCTTGACGTTTTTTCCGTAAAATACGCTTCGAATTTGTCGTCGACGAATGTTTTATCTGGAATCTGAGGCCAATTGTATTTATATTTCCACAAAATTATTGAGCGTCTTGAAATTTTCCGTCTACCGCGTTTTGTTTGACAGCTTATGTTTGACAGCAGAAACCATCTGAATACGAGACCACATCGCTGCGTTGGGGTATGTTCACATTTCGCACTCGATACGATACGAAATACGTTAAAACACTCTCAAATATGCAGAAAATAGATTTGTTCACATTAAACAGAAAAAATGATGACAAAAGAAATTATGAAATTCAAGAAATTCACGAAATTTGCCAATCGTTCTCGTTTGCGTAGCAAATAAATAAAAATTGCAATTTTTGTCCTTTAATGGGAAAAAACTGAAAATTGCTCTCAATTTGCAAGTGGCTATTTCTCTGTAGACATTTGGAGCGAAAATCAAATGGTCGACCAGATGAAATGAAAGAAGAAAACCTTGACTCTTATTTAATCCATATACTACTTTATTTTATAATTTAATAATTTAATTATTAAATATTAATATTTAGATATTGAAGATTTGCAATTCGTATCGTTTGTCGTAATTCAATTAATTTTGTTTCATGAGTGCTGTCGCAGTACGTTTTGGCCTTCCAGGTTTTCTTCGTGTCGGCATAAGAAGTGTCGGCTTTGTTGATTCTGGGATTTCAACGCCATGGTGACGAATTCCAATGGCTATTATGTGCTTGCACATGTGCTCTTTGAAAAACGCAGCACATGTGCATGTCGATTGCGTTTTCCAACTGTCTAATGAAAATTTCACGATATAAAATTGTTGGTAACCATGAATGAGAAATTCATCAAATGACTTCCACCTCATTTGCACAAGCGTTTTGTAGTACGTCTCGTTTGCGTGTTCGTCTAAGCATGCGCTCGATGGAACCGAGTAAAGGTCCATATTCGAGCCGGGTTGCTTTTTGGCTTTGAAAGCTTTGAATTTTTGCGCTACCATTAAAGCTGCTTTTTCGAATGCAACTTTCTTTATAGTAGGCTCTGTTGCCAATGAACGTTCACGTTTCGAAAATTCGTTTGATACTGTTGATGTCATTTCTTTCATTGTAACCAAAAATTGATTCAATGGCAAGCGTCTACGTAACGTGATTTTCTTCTTTATTGTGGCATTGTGGCTTTCTTGGCCGTTATTTGTTGATGGAGTGTAGTCGGCAGCGCCTTCAAACCAATTGGAATGTGGTCCAAGCCACTCTTTTTCGAAATACGAAACGAAATCGGATTCGATGAGGCGCCATTTATCACAAAACAGTTTGGACATCATATTAAACGTTATACGGTTCGGTGCTAGTTGCATTTTGCGTATGTCGTCAATTATTAATTGTTTGTTGGTTTTAGATATCAATGACAATCAGTATTTGACACTTCAAAAAGGAAGTACTAGATCTTCAGCTACACATTACACACCGAATGGTTCCACATTCAAGACTACTTTCCGATTTCCATTGTCCATTTCTCTGATTGTGATCTGACTTGGTATTTACTACAAGCCCAGTCTATGTCATTTGAATTACCGTTTCTCAAGTATTTGTTTGTTTTTCAATTAAAAAGTCACTCTAAAACATGCCAATAGTAATATTATGATTCAGTTTTGTTTATTTGTCCTTTGCTTTTATTTTATTGAATGAAATTTGCTTAGAATATTCTTAATCATGAATATAATCAATCGTTGCATCGTCGTTGGATATGTCATCGCTCTAAACTCATTGTTGAGTTCTTTGGTCGTCCTGGTTTTTTTCTGGGTGCGATCAGTAATGGGTTTGCATTCTGTGGGCATTCTATTATTCGGCACTTCAATGCGATGGCAATAACATGTTTACACATAAATTGTTTAAAGAAGACTGGGCAGGTACAAATAGATTTGGTGTTCCAATCAACATTCGAAAAATTTACGAGCCAAAACATTTGATACCCATATGTAATGAACTCATCAAATGATGTCCAATCTGTTTTGGACAGATTTTGATAATGTTTGTAGTTAGCATTTTCTTTCGTACACTTTTCGGATGGAATAACATAATAACATCGTCCACTGCCTTTTCCGGTCGCTTTAAATGCTTGGAAGCCATCATTATGCATTTGGGCTGCACGCATCAAAGTGTCACGGGAAACTATTGGTTCTGTTGCAATTATTCGTAGGCCTTTAGTAAATTGTTTCGATGCATCGCTTGTCATGGATATCATTGCATTCATAAATTCCACTAATGGCAATCTTCGACGAAATGTGACTTTGCGTTTGATTATCGCATTATGGCTCTCCAAAGCATTATTCGTAGAGGGCGTATAATGTGCCGCACCCTCATACCAATTTGTATGTGGTCCCAACAATTCTCTTTGAAAATAGCTTACAAAGTCAGGTTCACTTTCTTGCCATTTTTCGATAAATAATTTCTTCATCATTTCAAAAGCACTACTGTTCGGCGCAAGTTGCATTTGACGAATGTCATCGACGATCAAAGGTTTGTTATTTTTTGATGCAAATGGTCTTTTTCTGACATTTCTAATCACATGTGCAAAGCACATAATGTCCAACTCTGCGGATTCATCGAACACATCGTAGAAAGCATTTCTAATAGCTTCAGCGCCGTCAGCAATCAATTTTTTCGGTTTAAATTCACTTTCTGTAGAGTTCGATGCAACGGCCTCCTTTACTGATTGAAATACGAACGCATAATCATCCGTAGTTTCATGGGAGGTACAGGCATATACCATTGGATGAAATTTCTTTGTTCGGTCGACCGTGCCTAAAATAATTAATGGGAAACCCATCCAATTTAATTTGTAGGTAGCGTCTATACATATTGTATCCAACTTCGAAAGTTTATCTAGTAAATTTCGTGTGCTGAGACAAAAGCGAAAACCTTGTTTTTTTTCCTCTACAACATGAGACAGCACAAATGCATCGTCACTTTCTTCGGGTAAGCCTGAATTTTCTTCACACCATTTCGCCAAATCACCAAGATGAATCATTCTGTTCGTACCACGGGCATTGTACTTCTTTAGACTGTACTCTAACTGTTTAATTGACGGATTGAGTTCTTCTTGAAATAACTTGTATGTCTGACGTGCGTGTTCGATGTGATGGAATACGGTTGTATGTTTTGTTGTACCCATCTTGTACAGATCATGGATGAATTCAAGCATTTCAATGGAAATGGGACGTTTTTTCCCCTTTAACAGCTCGTCATGGTTGTGATTTTCGTTATTTGTAAGTAAAATGATTTCATTGGAATTTGACGGCAAAAATATAATGTACCGGCGAGAGCACCATTCATGTCTTTTGCGATCTCTTGGAATTCGCATGCATCGAAAATGAAACTTTTGGCCGATTTTTAGATCGCAATCATCGTAGATGACAAACTCTTCGTTCTCGAGGAAATCGGTTACGTCATCCAAGCTATCCCACTTACTATGCTCTACCCAATTGAATTTAGCCCTTATTGGCTGTTGTTCTTTGTCTTTCAACGGATCGGGCGTTTCTAGTTTCGTTGCATCGATATTTTCTGAAAGAATATCACTTTCAATGATGTCTTCTCCCTGTGATTCGAAAACCAAAGACTCGTTGATATTGCTATCGTTTTTTTCATTAATCAATTTCTTCAGCGATTCATCGATCTACAAAGAAGTTAAAAATGTTTTATTATTAGAAAAATAGCAGAAATTTATGCGATGCATCGGAATGTTCAATAAAACATTTCGCTTCGAATTGCTTTAATATTCCGAACAGTTTATTAATAAATAAAATGGGACTAAAATGATTCATCTTATATAAATTAAAATTACTTCATTATCAGTGTGCGATGACATTTCGTTAGTTGTGTTTTTTCGCTTGGAACTTTTATTTCTCTTCGAACTTTCACTGGACTTCTTACCGCTTGGATTTTTTCTTTTTTGTGCTTTTTGTCCATTGGACTTCGATGTAACGACTACCACCTTTTAATTGACAATTAGAAAAAGAATCATTTCTATTAGAATTTTAATCCAGTGAGGAATTGAAAAAAATAGATTAAAAAATTACTTCATTATCGGTGTCTGATGATACTTCGTTAGTTGTGTCTTTTCGGTTGAAACCATTCGCTATACTTATAAATCGGCTTTCTCTTGTCTTCTTCAACTTTGCACTAACTTTCTTTGCAACTCGATTTTTGCGTTTCGATACAATGGGTCCATTCTTGACGGGCAAAAAAATGAATTCCACTAATGAGATATATACCCGTAGAAAATAGTACGATTTTAACCTCTGATTGAAATTTACCTCTTTTTCTGTGTTTGATAACACTTTGTCATTGTTCTTGTTCTGGTTCGAATCAACAGCCTTTTTGACTACTTTCCCGACGAGAAATTTGCGGTAAAATAGGTGTACGTCGACTATCCGTCGCATATCCGTTTTTGAGTGCGGATACTCGCAATGCGAATAGGTATCCACAATAAAAGTTGCCGCAAAATGTTATCGCTGAATACCCTGCGACTATTCGCGCTGAGATAAATGTGAAGTTGTAACTGGATCGAGTGTGACATTTCGACTTGAAACTTCGTACAACCAACGTGAAGTTGGCTGCGTTCGACGGACTTTTTCGTATTGCGACTATACGTAGAATAGTCGCAATGCGATATTCCGCAAATTTCTCGTCGGGTTTATTTCGCTGATTCGATGCATCGCTATGTTCATTTAATTGAGTGTGATCAAGCCCGTCTTTTCGGAGAACACAGTTCATCCTTGAAATTTAAAATAAAATGTAGCTGAACAAACCTTTATTTTCCAAATAATACTGATTTTTATACTTACATCTGAACTGAATTTCCGTTTAGCGGCTCTCGTATTCATTATAATTATAATACATATAAGAAATATCAGAAGTATGTTTTTTTTTTTCAACACAACTTTACTCAAATCTTTTCTCACTTTTTATGAATTTTTGTGGTTATGTTAACTACACCACGTCATAATACGATATTAATTCGAAATTGACAATCGTTATATTTATTTGCAAAGGGTTGTACATTTGAAATAGCAAAATATTACATTCATGGTTGACAATAGACAATTGA